AATAACTATTAAATGTCGATGTACTTATTTATTCACATTCGTTGTAAAGGTATGTTTTGTGACGGTCAGTCGAACGAAAAATTTGCTATCCTATTTCGTTTGAGTAAACTCATACGGTGGAATGATTACTTGGCAATAAACTAACGTCAGTTGAACAGAGGGGCCTGCGCTCCGTCCGCACGTGTACAGTTATCATTATGTTATTTACATATACGAGTATCTACATACGTACATATGTACATTTATGTACATTAGGTAAAGCTATGAGTCTAAAAGTCTCAAATATATGAGTCAGTGAATGCGCAACTCATAAAGCTACGGATTAAATGCCGGTACGTCGCGGCGAGTCATAGCGGGCACTCCACAGAACTACAACGATGTGATATGTTAGCGCACGCCGCGTCACACCGGAGCTCATATATCGACATTAAACTGCAGCACAAACGTTAACAGTCGCTACACTCGATACACTTAGCAGTATGGTTTAAGTAAATACGTAACTATTAAGTAATATGAAAATAATATAAAACTAGGGTTCATTTTTTTTTAAATATCATGAAATTCAGTATTCTTCTAGCAGCCATCAATCTTCGCATATAGCATGGATTTTGCTTATTTAGTTCAATATATGTATGCATGTACATATTTTATAGGTTACTCGAGTATAGTTCATCAGAACTATCTCCATAGGAACCGTGAATTGCGTCTAATCAAGTGGGTACAATTGCACCCTGAAGTGAAGGAAAATAGGTAGAAAAAGTAAAAAAAATGTTTTATTAAAATCCCTGTATAAATCAAAAAATGATAAACCAATAATCACCACAAATATAAAAAAAATATGATTAAAAATTCAAAAACAAGAATGATTTAAAGATTAATTATATATTATTAATAGTTTAATAAGTAGTAATAGATGCACCCCCCTAAAAATAGTTCTGCCGGCGCCTACGTGTATCTCCGATGGTGGCGAGCACAGATCCTTATCAAAGCACACGCGAGGGCAATTTTAGAAAATTAAACAGTTAAGGTAGCACTGTCTCGGCGACGGGCGGCGGAGGGCGGCGGAGGGCGGGCGGTGCCAGGCGGCGGGCGGCGGCGTGTCCTTATCGCGGCCGCGGCCGGGACCAGCAAATTGTTTCAGACGCTTCTAAATAGCTTCCTTATTTGCGTGCTCGTATAAAAGTAAACTTAAATCCCACAAGCATTGTGCAGCGCTTTCCTTATTATTTTATTTACGTTCGCTGTTAGATAATAAAAAACAATGCTCAAAGATGTAAATTGATAGTACTTTCTTCGATTTACGCGAATATTTGACATTTTAAATAAAACTATCATCTCGGATTATTTCGCGGATTTATTTTGATTTTTGGTTCCCGACGTTTCGAATGCTTTACAGCAATCATGGTTACGGGAGAGACCTGCCGTGTCTCTTTTATTTGAGTGTATTTTACAAGAGTAATTCACTTTCTCATATCTAATATTTAACAAGACTTCGTCTATTTTGCGGTTGTCTGTGAAAATTTGTTTAGGAGACAGAGTTTATGGCGGGTCGGCTCGGGACCGCCAGACCCTCCCCAGTAAAGTTATTAGTTGTCGCCACGCAGTGTTGCGGTGAAGCGGTCCGTATTCGTTTGAACCCTCGAGGCCTCCTGAGCTCATTGTCTTATCGCGAGCGAACAAACGTGCCCGCGGGAAGTACACTCGGTTTTGCCCTCATATATCGCCATGACCCCTTTCAGACGATACTCTGATCTATCAAGCAATTTTCGTAAACTGCGGACTTTAGCCTGCAGCCATTTTACTTTGTGAATTGTTGTGGATATTACTTTGTAGGAAAAAATCTTAACATATTAGTATATACATATTCTTTATGTTGATTCCGTTCGTTTTTGCATTTACAACGCAAGACAATTTGTCTGCAAACGTCCAATTAAAATAACAGATATAGTTTAATTTCATTTAGGAAAAAAATAATGGTGGTGCACTGGTTTTTAATCCCTCCACGAGCGCGGACACGCCGGCGTGTCAGTTAACAATAGATTTCTTAGAAATTTAATAAATTTGTTTGAAATTTACCTTGAGGTGTTAAATATGCACGGATTGTAGTTTGGGTTAATTGCAGTCCAGTATTAGAAGTAACACTAAATAAAATAGATAGTGAAAGATGTAGATAGGAAGCGATGGCTGAGGATAGTGGGGGCTGGCCGCTTCGCCTGCTGACGCTTAGTATTTCATTGGCGGCACGAAGGCAGCGCCGGGGCAGAGTCGAGGCAGACCGGGGCAGAGTCACGACGCTCGGGCTTGAGCCGTTATCGTGATGACGCAGATTTATACGGCTGCAATTAAACATTGGGCACAGACAGCGAGTGGCATACTTTTGGCTCATTTTACTTACCTATCGATTTTTATCTATGTATATGGCTTAAGATATTTATTTTCTCAAAAGAATTACAAAATTCACAAGAGAAAATACAAAAAATAAATATAACAAATATCGTGTCGTCAGACAAATCATTTCATAACTTATTCACTTAGCATTATTAGAGTTATTTATGCATTATACAGAAACTTATATCACAAGAAACATATTTTGTTTTAATTTTACGAGTATAAACTTAAGCACATAATACCAATGTAGTAAAAATTAAGAATAAAGAGGGTAGTACTAATTGTTTTCAGACAATAAGTAAGCTAAGGGCTAGTTCTAAAGTGCACATGGCAGAGGTAATCAGAGATTTAAAATTTGTATAATAATATTTATGTTTTTACTTTTTACTTTATTTCGATGTTTCATATTACAATTAGATAAATTGAAATAATTATTATTTGATTCTTTAATAGAATTATACAATTAAGGAACGATTTTTTTATTGTACCAGGATATATATAAAATATTATAAATTGTTTTATTTAAATATTTACACAAATATCATATACTTTTCTTATTATTTTCTAGATATCAAATAATTATGCTAGTTTACATACTCGTAATAGGCAGGTCGTTCATAATCTGACAACTTTTTGTTAGCAAACAAGTAACCATGTAAGTAACCAATTTCTTATTTATATTTTAGATCAAAACATAATTAAGTTATTTAAAATTTTATTATATGTATAGATAAGGCCGCGACAACATATATAACTAGGTAATAAAGTCATTCATTTAATATAAAAATGCTAAGTTTATCTCTCGGTTGTGCAGTAGGTAACATTCGTGCGGCGCGACGCTCGTAATTCGGCTAAGCCTCACATTATTTAAACAGCGCGCGTTGACATAATCTCATTACTCTGAAAGTAAAATAGAATAATTTTGAGGAAATATAATTTTTCCAAATGCCTTGCGTTTGTCCTCAAGCTCGCTCCGCTGTCCGAGCTGCGCTCCGGGCACACGCGCGCTCGGTATATTTTACAAATAGAGTGATATACCGTTGGGTTTTATGTGACATCACTGTCGCCTTTTCACGTCTGTACCATTAACTTAATTCACATGTTTTGTTACTGTATTACATGACGACAAATTGTATTTATCTTTATGTTTTCTGCAAATAATGTTCTAAAAAATCTTGTAGTTTTTTAATATATAATGAATATTATTAACAGTATATTATCACTATAATTTCATAAATAAATCATGAGAGTACCAGCTGGACTTCCAGACGTTGCTTTGCTTTATTTCGTAATATACAATTTATTTACGACTCAACCACAACACCACATAGATGAGATTAGATCTAGATTTCGTGACAGAAAAAAACTATTTTGTCTTATAAATCCCAAATTATCCCTTAAAACTAGCGCACCTCTCATATTTTGATGGAGCTATCTCCAAAAGCTTCCGATAAGAAGTTATGTATTAAATGAATATTGATGTTCTCATGTGCACACTCTTCGTGATCGCATCTACAGCTCTCTGTAGTATCGTGGAAAAGGTCGATTGAAGTTATGCAAAACCGGAGCAATGGATATTTGTAAAATTTTTGTAGAGACGCAAAGTCACTAACGTTACTTATCCCAGTATACTTATTGGCTTTAACATACATACATATATGTACGTATGTACGAACTACGAGTATATTGCGAAATGCTACTGAATATCACACGCAACGAGAGTAGGGGCGGTACGCTAGTTATTAAATAAAATGGTACTTAATTTTTGTTTTAATGGAAAATACATACAGCGCGATATAATTTCCAAAAAGAGATAAAATTAAGAGCAGTCATGAAATTTTATTACGGATCCAATCGGATTTACCGGTGAGGCGTGAAAGTCTTTTTTGTGACAACACTCGTTAGTGAAAACAAATTTGATTGTTAAAATACAACATTATTCCTTTAGCGCCTTGTCATGTATATTCTGTATTCAGTTATATTTACTTTTATAATTCATTATCGACGTTTCTGCGATAAACGAACACGACATAAGTAACATGAATATTTTAGAAGTCATATTTGTAATAAATGTATTCAAAGTATTGACAACCGCCGAAATGCAACGCATTTGCACAGTTTTACTTCCCGTGTCGAGCCTTCGATGTGCACTATATACCTATGTAAACATTTTTTGTTGCAGAAAATACAACTTAAAATACAACTTTGAGTTCCTCTATCCACTGCGCTGTGTATGACCAATTTGTGGCCGCTGTAGGGACTGATTGTGCATTTATTTGATAGAAAATGTGACTTTATTTTAAAGTGATAGTTAAAACTCGGATATAATTTAATTTTGGAGAGGCCTGGTAATTATTCATGGGGTAGAATAGTTTCTCATAAAGCAGCAATAATATTCTATGTATGTGTGTATTTTTTCGGTATAAAATAAGCTTTATAATATTAAAAAAATTTTTTAGTTCTGATATCATTATAATATTGAAAAAAAATGAAAAAACTATTTAAATATAAAATATTTAGTAATGACTCTTAACTTATTATACAATTATTTACAAAATAAATATTGTGCACATACTATACTGTCTGCTTGTTGTGTGCAGGTGTAGAGTGCGATGCGGTGGGGATGGAGAGGCACAAACTCGCATTGTTGTGTGAGGGCGCTGCCGTCGGCGCTGGCGCTGCTCGTGTTGCTGCAGCCGGCCGCCGCGCCCGCGCCCCCGCCCCCGCCCCCGCCCCGTCCCTGCGCCACCAACCCACTGTGCATCTGCCGCGCCGACCACTTTGCTTGCGATTCCGTGTCCTTCCATCGATTCCCCGATACAGGTATAACACATGAGAACACTGTCAGAATCCATGATATACGGAGGTTCTCTAAGCTTAAGGTTAAGAATGATAACAATGCCCAAATAAGCATGAAAATGCTGCTTGCCTATCTGTGTACTTGCACCTTATAACCTTTGGAATATCCAAACAGATAGTAATTTCGCTTAAAAAGACTTGATTAGAGTGGACTATATTTTATTATTGAAGGCTAATAGTGTTAAATGATTGTAAGGTAATGTTAAAATAAATCAATAATTCCATAATATTTTATTTTCCTCAACTAAATATGTGTTATATAGGCCACTTTGAATGAACTAGACGTGTTGTCTAAGTAGTATTATTATGCTCATTACTTGTGATAATAAAGAGTATATAGCTGCGACTGTGCTAGAGGTGGCCGCAGTGCACGTGGCGGTGTCGGCGTCGCGGCTGGGCGCACTGGGCGAGGCGGCGCTCGACGCGCGCGCGTTGCGCACCCTCGTGCTGGTCGCCTCGCGGCTGCACAGCATCGAGCCCTCTGCATTCACGTACGGACATCTTATAAATCTCCTGTACTTTGTTAGTGCCTAAATATTAGTATAAATATAATGTGTAAAATTAATTACAGATCTATGAAATCCAGCCTCGCATCATTAGACTTAGGTTACAACGAGTTCACAAAAATACCCATAGAAGCATTGCAACATTTGAAAGTGCTTAATTGGTTAAACTTGCAAAAGTAAGATTTATATTATTTCTTAATTATTCGCCAACTCTAATTTTATTCTTTAATAATTATTAAAATGTGTTAATACTTACTTGCCTTCTTTGGCTTGTTTCAGTAATTACATAAATGAATTGGACCCAGATATGGAGTGGGGCGGACTGTCAGAATCATTGAGTAGTTTGTCACTTAGCAATAATCACATATGTGTAATACGCGAAGGTGCCTTGACATCGCTACGCCACTTAGTACAATTGGAACTAGATGGGAATCGTCTGAGACAGTTAGACGCGGCTGCGTTGCCTGCTTCGTTAGCGCTATTACGACTATCTGATAATCTCTTATCAGATTTCCCTTGCCAAGCTATTACACTCTTGCCTCGTCTCCGACATGTACATCTACGAAATAATATAATTCAGCTCATTTCAAATATTTCTTGTCGAAGTGAACATTCCAAAGTGGATTCCCTTGATTTAAGTCACAATGAACTTACTGATAATTTTCATATTGATTTCTTCCATCACTCTCAACTTAAACAATTGATTTTGGACCTTAATGATTTCACAACTATTCCTTTATTTGTATCAAACTGTGGTCGTCTTGAAAAATTATCTGTTTCATACAATAAATTACAACATATATCAGCTGTGACATTTCATGCACTAAAGCATACACTTGAAAGATTAGAGTTAGATCACAATGAACTAATAACGTTACCAGAGAGCTTAAGGGAACTGAGAAAACTAAAACATTTGTCTCTTGCTTATAATCTCTTAGAAGAAATAAAAGTATTACCACCGATGCTGCAAACTCTTTCATTAGCTGGCAATTTTCTTACACTATTTCCCTATAGTTTATATGATTTGGCCCCGGGCATGCTGTCGTACTTAGATCTTGGTTACAATCATATTTCATTCGTGTCAGCAGATTTATTCGGTGCTTGGTCCGAGGGGCTCACCACCCTCAGTCTTCGTGGGAACAAATTAGCTCAGTTAGCTTTAGGCTCTTTCCCACCACTACCTTTGCGTGAACTTGTATTGAGCTTTAACGACCTTTACTATGTTGAAGCAGGAGTTTTTACGAACTTGACAGAATTGAGAATTCTAGAATTATCATCAGCATTATTTAGTGGTGAAATATCTACTGGTTCCTCATTAGAAGCTCTAACTTGGTTGGGCTTAGATAATAATAATATTCATTTTATATCGTCAGATGATTTGGCAAATTTCCCTTCTTTAGAATATCTCAATTTAGATTTTAACAAAATAATCGAATTTCCTAGCAAAGTCAGTAGAACAAGTAGGTCGTATAAAATTAAGGAATTAAGACTGTCATATAATTATGTAAGCAGAATAGATGCAGATTTTTTGGAGAAATTGACGGAATTGCAGAGCATTGACTTATCTAATAATCGAATGCACAATATAAGTGAACGAAGTTTCTGTAATTTGTGGAACTTAGCTTATTTAAACTTAGCCGGTAACGTTGTAGAGTTAATAGGTGAAGAGGCTTTTGTTAATCTTCCTAAAATAGAAATATTGGACTTACAGGAAAATAATTTAGTGGAGTTTTCTACGAGATATTTTTCAAATATGTCAAATAATGAAGTGAATTTCGCAGTTAATATAAGCTATAATAAAATATCTTCGCTTATTGGTGGTCCTACGGTTTCAATTAATATTATAGATATGTCACATAATTTATTAGAAAATATAGTTGCAGATTTTTTTATTTCTTTAGGAGAAAATATCCGTCAAATTTTTCTTTCCCACAATAAAATCGCTATCATTGACAATGTGGCATTTGGATCATTGCCTAATTTAAGTATATTAAATTTGCATGGAAATGAAATATATATGCTAAAACGTAGAGCGTTGGCAGAGTTGCCTTCATTACAGATTTTAGATCTATCACGTAATCGAATAAGTCAATTGTTAGTGGAACAATTCCATAGTCTACATCGTTTAAGACTTTTACGTTTAGATAGTAATAAGCTACGTGCATTGCCACGTGATGTCTTTAAAAATACTTTACTAGAATATTTGGATTTAAGTGTTAATCAACTGGCCTTATTTCCTAGCAGTGCTCTGTCACAAGTCGGCTTCACTCTACGTCGACTCGAGCTTTCATACAATCGTATTGAATATCTTGACGCTGCGATGTTTCACGCTACTTCATTTCTTTATGAGCTTGGTTTATCCCATAATGCTCTCACAGTTTTATCAGATAATACATTTGCTGGATTACCAAGACTTCATCGCCTTGATTTATCTTTCAATTCTATCAAAACAAATTTTAAAGAGCTTTTTCATAACGTGCCACGTTTACGTTGCCTGTCACTAGCTAATACAAGTCTTAAAAATACACCACATCTTCCTCTTACTAATCTTACAGAGCTTAATCTTAGCGGAAATTATATTGCTTCATATAGCGAGATAGACGTGCGACACCTTGCAAACTTAAGAGCTCTGGATATATCCGGAAATAAATTTACTTCAATGCGCCCCGCAATGTGGACAGGTCTGCCGCAGCTTATTTCGCTTGACATATCTAGAAATCCAGTAGTGCGAATACAACGTGGACTCTTTGACGGGTTGGATCGTTTACTTTATCTTAAAATGGATAACCTGCGCTATGTAGAAAACATCGAGCCTCGAGCATTTCGTGCCTTGATATCGCTAAGATCTTTAACCCTTGAGTCGCCTACAGGTCTATCAAAAGACGTTCCTATAGCAGACGTAGTTATTGCCACTCATCACTTAGAAGCTTTGGTGGTTATTATACGTAAAGAGATATTAGACACTCAATTTTTAGGTTTGCGCGCCTCCAAGCTTCGCTCGTTAGAAGTTCGTGGCGTAGCGATGCGGTACGTGGCTCCACACGCGTTTATTGCCTTAGGAAGGCAACGCGCCCTATCTTTGCGGCTAACAAGCTCAGGTATTGTCGAATTACCTGATGGTCTCGTGCTACCATTATTCCGAATTCCACATCTCGCACTCGACCTTACAGATAATAAAATAGTCAATTTCGGACCAGCAGTCTTGTACCCAAACTCGACGGGATGGCATCGGTTAGCGACTAAATTGTTGCCAGGTACAAAAATTACGCTTAACTTTTTCTTTCAATGACTTACTTTTTAGTAACGAAACTTAATTTTGGTAATTTTTTAGGTGGTCTGGTACTTGCTGGTAACCCACTTCGCTGTGGGTGTTCAGCGTCGTGGGTGGGAGCCTGGCTGCGCCGCTGGACGAGCGAGGTCGGGGGCGGCACGCGCAGTGGGCGCTGGGCGGCCCGCAGCAGTACGTGCGTGTCGGGCGCCAGCTCTCTTCCGAAGCCGTTGCTCGCTCTCCACGCTGACGAGGCTGAATGCCACGCAAGCGCTCTTTCTAGTCGCTCGTATAAGTTGTTCGTTACGTGGAATAGATTGTATATTATACTGATAGCTTTCCTATTACTTAGTTAGTATTTACTTAATACATTCTAAGGACAGTGACGATTTTTTCAAAATTATATTAGTAATGAGGACTGTATAAATATGTGAATTAACTAAATAGGTAAATACTTGGCGAAGAGTGATGTCCTGGACATTTGTGATTTGAATACATATTTATACGATGAAGTTGTACATAATATTATAATAACTTGTAAATATTTATAGATTTGATTTTATACTAGATTTTTGTTAATAAATTTTTCTATATTTGTCACTTTAAGAAATTTTCGAACAACGAATATTTAGCAAGTTACTGGTGACTTTGTTAATAATCAACGTGTCTAGATAATTTAATAGTTAAAATTCTGAACACTATCGATGGCGGATGTGTTTATTTGTTATAATGATAACTTTATAAAGATTTTTTTAATAAATAAATTGTACTAAATTAAACCGGTATTAAATACGAAATGTTTAATTTCAATATTTTAGGCTAACTTTTTGTATAAATACTTAAATGTAATTAAAATGGAAAGTGAAATTGAATAATAAATATTTTTATATTATTTATGAAAGTTTTATTTCTTTCTACTTTCTAATTTTTATAAAGCCCCTAACTAAACACAGACTAATGTGTTATTTTTTTCTATAAATAACATATTTAATAAATGGATTGAAAATTATTATACTTAAATATGTTAGCTATTACGAGTATACATATTATTACATGTTCCGTTATGTCAAGACAAAGTGTATAGATGCAGGGGCGCGCGCTGCACCGCGCCGGCACGCGCTCGCTCCAACACGTAAGACTGCAAGAATAATGGAGAATACTAAAACGTGACCCACACAGTGCAGTATTCCATACATTTGTGTGTTAAAATTTATTTTTCCAAGACGCTACATAAATGCGGCGGATAAAATTGTGCTTTATCTTCACTATCACCAGTTTGAATGTAGCAGTTAAGAGATGAATTCTAGTTTAACTTGTATCTAATATTATAATCTATACATATAATAAAATTCTAACTACGAGTAAGTCGAATCTGTACATTAATAATTTTTTGGAAATTCTAATTGAAATAGACATTATTATCGATACAGAGTCCGTATCTTTAGTTTTTAGAATTTTTGTCTATCTGTCTGTCTGTCTGTCTGTTACCGCATCACGAGAAAACCACTGGACAGATTTTGATGAAATTTGGTATGATGATAGCTGATTATCCGGGTCAACATATAGGATACTTTTTACCGCGGGAAAATATTTCATTTCTGAGAAAAAATACAAAAAACTGTAAGAGTATACTAATATGTAAAACCTAAGAATTTGGTTTTTGGTCACCTCAACGCGGGCGGAGCCGCGGGCAATGCTAGTATTTAACTAAAACGTTTTTAAATAAATTCTTAAAAGCCTGGGATAGTACAATGTTTAAAGCGTATACATATGCTAGAAACATTATGTAATACGAGTATGTAATACTTGAAGAATTTTACCTGTGTAGTTTCCACACACTCCCGTGTATATAGGCTAGTTATTCCGGACCCGGACCTTGACACGTGGTAAGAACTGACTAATTTTCTTTGGCGGTTTGAAGTAAGTTTTAATTGAAGCTCGCTTTAGAATGTAGCCAATCTTGTCAGTGACTCCTCTCATGTATGGCAGGACTGCAGGGACGTGCTCGACTGTAGCTGGTTTCACTCGGTCACAGTGAACATCCCTCTACAAGATGCAGGAGCTTACAAGCTTGATTGTGATTGTGGGCTCTCTTACATCGGACAAACAAAGCGATCCATTAGAACCCGGGTCAAAGAACACATAGCTGATGTGAAGCACCGTCGCAATACAACATCCAATTCCATTCCAAAGCCATTATATTCGCTTCGATAGACCTCAAATCCTGGCGAAAGAAAACCGATATCGCGCTAGAATGATTCGAGAAGCCATAGAAATTAAAAAACATCCAAATTTCAATAGGTAAGAGGGCTGGGTACTACCATCGTCATGGGATCCTGTTATTAATATAATAAAATCAAATAATAAATATAAACATAACAGACAGGTAGATGTAGTAAGTTCTTACTGTGTAGATCAAAATGACAGCATATCAGAATAATATTTTTCATTTTTCATTTGTAAAAGTATATAGTAATAGTGTTGCTTAGTAAGTTGTCTTTTTAAATAATAGGAAACTAAATTAAAATTATTATCCTTAATTAATTTTAACTTTTAAATTACACATAGAACAATTATATGGCTTAAATAATTAATACTATATTTTACATTTTTCTTATGGTTATAAATATAATAATGGCAACACTAAATATAGATTACTAATTAATATTTTTAAAATTGTAATAATTATAAGAATTACAGCAAAAGTTAAATAAATAATATTCCATAATCAATTATAAAACTAATTAAAATTATAAAAATTATAAAAATGGCAGGCTGTCTGTAACAACTATACCTTCAAGACATGTAACACCTCAGTCTCTCCCGTGACCATGGACGCTGTAAAGCATTCGAAACGTCGGGAACCAAAAATCAAAATAAATCCGCGAAATAATCCGAAAAGATAGTTTTATTTAAAATGTCAAATATTCGCGTAAATCTAAGAAAGTATTATTTTTGCATTAGATAGCCCGTTTATTGAGAAAGGCTATAGGCTATACATATATCACATAACACATTGCATATTTATTCCATACTAACTGTTAAAACGTATCTAGGGACGAACCCGGGCAAAGCGAGGGTAAGTAGCTAGTGTAAATATGTAGCAGCTCCGGGGACGCGCCACTACATAGTGCTACTACTATTCAAGTTTAATTACAAAATACATCTAGTGTTACATGTGAGATTTAATTATTTAGATTAGATTTTCGTCTGATGTTTCTGTATTCTGTTACTAGTGTTGCCTACTGGGGTGGAAGTATTGGGTTCGATTCCCTTATAGCGCGAATGTTTTCAGTTCACCACACAGATATTCATCCGTTCTAACCGACAAAATGCATTTGTCCAACAGCTGACATGAATTATACATTATAAGCGACGCAGGAAATAAAAAATCATTTTACTCTATTTTAGATGGTTCTTAAAAACAATATATTCGAGTTAGACTCTTTAAGTTAGGGTTTAAAAGAGACTAAGTGGATGTCGTAAAATAATCCTGTAGCCTTAAATGCCATACAATAAAATATAACTAGGGAATTACGTCTCTACAGTGCTGCGGCATGTGTGCAGACTGTCGAGATAGAGTGGCAGGAGAGTCGCGGCGCAGTAATCCCGTTGCCTAAATCTATCACACCAAAAAGGATTTTAGAAGCACGTCAGTGAATCCACTTCGAAGTGAAATAAAGTAGTTATGTTCTAAATTTAAAATGTTTTCATTTAGTCGATATAAATTTTGCACGTAATATTTCCATGAGTATTTACTCAGTAAGATATGTTTGTTTTAGATATATCCTTCTTCCACCTCTTTTGGCCCACAAATTGAAATTCCTATTTGTTTGCAAATATTGCGTCTGCTTGGAATTCGGGAGAAATTACAAAGGTATTAGAATGTGAAAGCTTTACACTTTGATGTTATTTGAGAACAAAGTATACTTATAAATAAAATTGAAAAATTACTGTGTGGTTTTACGATAGAAACTTTCAAGCTTAAACTTTTATACAAAGTTTTAAATTTTAGTTTGTCGGTCTGTGGATTGATCTTTGAATAAGCTGAACCAATTTTTAACAAAAATTCTAAGTTTTACAAATAGTAGAAGATATTATTATACAAACTGTCTAATAATTGTCATTTGTCACGTAGACAATTACGATATACAAAAACAAGTTGGCATCGTTCTTAGTCAGGAGCATATTGAAAATACATATACACATAACATTTTCGAGAAGTAGAAGTAGATAAAAGTTGTATGCAACTGCTTTTAACAATACTATAACAACATTGTGATGACCTAAACAGCTTACATTTATTTTAAATAAAATATATTTTCGGATTTTTAAACATTTTCGATTATTTAAACACCTCCAGGTAAATTTCTAAAAAATTAATTAAATTTCTGAGAAATCTATTGTTAACTGTGACGCCGGCGTGTCCGCGGTCGTTGAGGGATTAATAAGTTTTATAATTGAATATGAAAATTTTCATGTTCAATTATAAAAAATAATCAAAAATGTTTAAAATTAAAATTAACAATTTTTGGAAGCAGGGTAGGCACTGTCTGTAATAGCTATATAATGACATTTGAGACCTTTAAAACCTTACTCTTTCCCCTGACCATGATTGCTGTAGAGCATTCGAAAGGTCGGGAATCAAAAATCGAAACAAATTCGAAAAAAAATCTAATATTTACAATTACATAAGCGTACCGTAACCTGAGTAAATATATACGTCACGCCCCACCATTTTATGTTTGATGTTCTGTTCAATGCCCTAGATTGATGAGTGGTATCTAGGACCTACCTAATTACTTTTTAGCTTTTAGTACATTATTTAAATTATTATTATCTTTTTTTTTAAATAAAACTGTTCAACTTAAAAAAAATACCTATTTTATATTCAAGTTTTTAATTTTAACTATCTAAACTCTATGATCCGCCATGCACTGTGTTCTACTTGTAAAGTCCTTTCATGTGATACTCATAATATTGAGGGGGTTGTGGAAAAACATGTAATTCGCCATTTTGTGGCGGCGGCCATCTTGGATTTACAATGATACTGAATATATTCAATTGTATTGTCATCAGAACTAAAGGTGTGTACCAAATATCAGATCAATCTGTCAACAGAAAAGGGGTAAAATTTCAATTACTGGACCCAACCAAACGGGCAAAGATAAATAAAACCGTTTAAAAAAGAAAGACATGGCAAACACCTTACAAAACCAAAAATATTAATAATTACAATCAGGATTGCTTTAGTTAAATATATAATTTAAATAGTCGTTGTAGAAGACAAACGTAAAGCTAAAGCGTTAAGAAGTAATACATACTCGTATTTGATAAAACTCTAATACTGATT